AATCATAGGACGCGTCATAGAATTTGTCGCTTTGAAAGATATATTCGGCGCGCAATGAGTTGGTCTCACAGAGAATAGTCGGGTGTTTGGTCAGAATGACAGTGCATTGTTGCGGAGCGCATGTCATCTTATGGAGATCCCATGTGACCGAATCGGCCCGATTCACGCCCGACAATAGGTGCCGATGTTGTCTAGACATAAGCCAAGCGCCGCCCAGAGCGCCGTCCACGTGCAGCCATAGGCCAAACTCTTGGCAAATGTCCGCAATCTCCGGCAACGGATCAAATGCGCCTAAAACTGTTGTGCCGGATGTGGCCGACACCATATACGGCACTTTACCCCCGCTCTTGGCAAACAATATGCTGTCTCTGAGTTCACTGACGCACATCCGTCCCCTTTCATCGGCTTTCACTTTGATTACAGATTCCGTTCCCATTCCTAACCAAATGGCAGACTTCACAAACGAGTAGTGAGACTAAAGTCATCAAACAATTTACAAATTAATGTATTTATCAAATGAATTGTTAGTTCACTTACGTCTTCGGAGGCAAACATCACTAGTTCTCCCAATTCTCGGATACCTTTCTGTTTGGATTGAGGGAAAGCTTTTTGTCGCGATAACACCATAGCGTATGTATTAGCGCTGGAACCTCCCGGTGCGAACATGCCGTCAATCTGCGAGCATTCATAGCCAACCAATTCTCCCAAATATTTAATCAAATACCTTTCAATTACAGAAAATACTGGCGATATCTCGAACGTAGCCCTGAATTGGAGTTATCATAAAATACTGTTTAATATTATTATCAAATATTTACTGCAATTTTGTTTTTCAAAATTCTAAAATATATGACAGAACTATCTATAACAATTGTTATTCTATTTAAATACATTATAAAACAATGTACCAATTAAAAACAATTAAATAATAATTAAAAACAATTTATGATATATTTAGAAAATTTAATTTCCAAATAAATAATATTTTGTAATTAATTCAAAGAAAATTATTACTAACGCAGAAGTGTTGAGCGCATCGGTTAAGAAAGCGCCAGAGAGTGAGTATTGTTCGGCTCCGCCATAGAGTTGATTGTAAAAGTTTGGATGCGCTAAATGTTTGCAATTTATTCATTCAATTATTATTGAAATATTAGACATAATTGAATGTTTTTTTACATGTTTTAACGCTATGTCTGATCACTTGTCGACAAATATCCAAAAGTTTTGAATCCGATTCTCTCTCTTCACCGATATTTAAGTCCAAAACATTCTGTTATAAAATTAGTTTTAATTTACATAAAATATACATTTTATTTATATTATGAATGAATTAAACAAAAAGAGTTCAAATTTATACCTCTAACTCATTTGGATATTTAAAGTCCAGTAGTTTTTGATGATTATCTCTAAAGAATTGAGAGTTTCCAACAATTTTTTCTTCATTAAGGCTTATGTCCAACAATTGTTTAATAAACTCATTGCCATTATTTAAAGTCATCGTTAGATTTGAAATTTTGTCACAACTTTATTGTCGAAACTTTTAAATTCAGTATTCTTTAACTCTAGTATTTAATATATAATCCCAGTATATTAATGGCAAAACTTAATAATTATTTAATTACAATATTGATAATTGAATTAAATGTATGATTAATTTGAAATATAAAAATTAATGTTTACACAAATCATAAAACTTTTATGAAACACTTCACACAAAAGTACAGTTCAGTTAAACTCATAAAATGATGGAAACTTTTGACAAAATTCTTGTACCAAACGTTTCAATGCTATACGAAGTGCGAGAACTTTGTTCGCCTTATATTTGATTCAAAATAGTCTTATATCAAAATTAATATTCAGAAAAACACCACAAACTCGTGAGTCCACTCCCATTCATATAATTAATTATTATTTAAATTTTTATTTATTATTAATTAACATTCAATCTTTATCGTATATTTATGTTAATTTTTTCTATATTATGGAGGCGTTTCTTATAGACCTAAATAATGATTTATATTTTAGCAATAACACTTGTCTTAATATACAGTATGTGTTTTTGTTTTAAAAAAATTACATATAAATTAAATAATATAATGATCAAACAAAGAACATTTGAAAAATAATGCATTTTACTGTAGAATACTATAAAATATTAGTTTTTTTTGCTGCAAACTTTTGGTTTGATCGGACATATATTCATTAATCATAATATAATTTTGGCTTTGATTTATGATTTTTGGATGAAAAATAATAATAAGTTTTCTTTCACTAAAGAAATGTAATTAGATTTTATTTTTGGTTGAAAACTATTTTATTTTTTAAACAAATAGTTATTTTTGGTTTAAAAAGAAAGTCTCAATTAATCAATGAAAGTTTCCAAACTATAAGTTATATTCTTTATGAAATGAACAATTTATCCCAATGTGCAAAGAATATTACATATCATTAAAGATATTGTTGAAGTATTTGATTGCATGCCATGTTTTTAGTTGAATTAAAATTTTATGCATAATATATAATGTATTTTTGAAATTTTCACATTTTTGAAGCAATTGTGATAAAGAGTGGATTTTTATATAAAAATGAAATGATTGTTTAGATGTGCTTAAATTTCTTCAATACAATGAAATACTATTAAGCACTCAAGCAATTAAATTGCAGGTAGATTTTCATTTATTTTAATTATCCTACGGTAAGAATAGATGCAAATTAAAAAGGGATTAACCCAATGATAATATTACGAAAATAGCAATATGGTTGCTAGACTTTGAATATGCACTAATATCTATAATATACATTACATAATTACTGTATGTAATGGAGATATTAATTCTATATTTTATAGATAATTAGTTCAATACTTATATTTACTTAATTTCTATATTCGTAAACAAACTTCGAATAACAATTGTATTATTATTGAATAACATGATGGTAAAAATATTTCATATTAGTGTGAAATAACTATTATAATAAACAAATTACATAATTAAGAAGTATTTTGTGTAATACTGTAAAGTATATAAAAGAAAAGGCAATATATCAGTCAATAGGTTGTGTTGTCTTAACCTTAATTGTTTGATATGTGGGATGAGAAGAGCTAAATGTGTTTCAATCACTCTTTCTTATAAAACAATTTCTTCTCCAAAATTATTTCAAGAACTGAACGATAAAAACAAATTGTGATTAATATCGGAGCCATTTATTTGTCTTTATTTGAAAATATTTTAATAAAAATGTAACGAAATGTTTATCTCCGGAAACCTTCACATTATTTGAATTATTGCTTCAATGCTATGAAAATTTAAAGCATTCTTTGTTTGCATTCAAAAATATTAACATTTTTTAGATATCTAAATATATTTAGATTTACAAATAATGACATTGAATTAAATTATCTATAATTAAAATCATTATAATTTCTCATTTATACCGTATAGATTATCATAAACATATTATTTAATAAACAATATTTATGCTAAAATTATAACATATTTTAAATAACGAAATGTTTTTTTTAATGATTTTGACCAAATAAATCGACAAATAAATACAATTAGAATAAGTAATAAGTTGCTACCAATACTTATAATTACATAATTTTAATTAAGTCCAAGTCTTAAATAGATGTTTTGCGGTCATATAAACTTTTTATGTATAATGAAAATCAATAAATTAATATAATTTATTTATATATTTATAATAATAAAAGCACAAATAATAAATTATTAAACATTAATTTAATAATTGAATTAAATAAATAAAGTAAAGTATAAATAATAACATTAACATTCATATTTACGAGTTAGTAACAATGCCATCAATAGGAAAATTATAATAATTTATAACTTAACTTTTCATTTAACTTAACTTTGGTTTAGTTGATCACAATATGAATTAGTTCATACATTTTAAAATTATTTTTTCAACATTCAAATGTTTGATTAATTCATTAATTATATTTTAGTTAATATTTGTGAATTTAGTTTCTAATTGTAAATAGTTTACATTTGATTTTTCTTATACCTATAATTAATTAACAATTCAATACTTGAAGTGATATCAAATGTTTTAATTAAATGTATAGAAATAGTAGATAAAGAGCTCGTTTAAGGAATCAATAAATTTTAACAACTATTTTAATGTTGGTCAATCAATTCATATAACTGTAAATGTGTAAGAACTGTAAAAATAGATGTAAATTTTTAAGTTGAATTCTGCTCTAAACCTTTTTATAAGTTTCTGTTATTTTCAATGATAATGTCATTCATTTGACGCTTGGGTTAGGTTTTCATTGTTACCCCTGTTCTATTCCTTACGTTTATCTTCATTAATAAGAGTAAATGATATAAATTAAATGTAACAAAGTATGGGATGGGATGACCAGGTTTTCACACTTTATATGAGACTTTGGTTGAACCAAAAGTTTGAAAACTACTGACTTGAGAGCTGCGGACAGATATTGTAAAGTTCGTTCATTTATGACATTGTGTTTATTATTAAACACTTTCGGAGAGAAAATTTGATTAATAAATAAACAATTACTCGGAATTACTTGTGTATTGAACAATGAGTGATAATTATTGTTCAGGCCTTGCCTTGTGATCAAACTCCAAGGGAGGCTGAGGAGGCAGATAACCAAAGTCGTTGATAAATCTGGTTTTTAATGCATTCATTTCGCTTATAATGGACGCCATTCTCCACTTGAGTTCATGGTTTGTGACCTCCAATCGGTTCTTTTGCTGATCCAAAATGAATTGTTTGATTCTAGGGGTCACTCCTTTCTTATTGTAATTCTCGACGGGTCGGCCCAACTTCTTCTTCTGGTGTTCACACCTTTTCATTGTTTTGGAAACTTTGCGTTTTAAGCAGTGATGGTATGCGTGTGTTTGTCGGACGTGCATCTCATCAACGGATGGGCTTTGTTGTGACATCGCATTCACGCCTGTATAGTATGGGGCGGTGTTTGTGGGCACAGGTATGTGAGGCATGTATTGCTGATCGATTGCGAAATTATTTATCGCGTTTGTGTTTACAAGGGATGTCTGTGCGATATTGTGGACGATAGGCATCGGCTCCATGTGTTGACTGAACTCAAACGGCACCGACTGTTGATTGCAATCGTCTGACGGATATTCTGTGAATATTGATTCAAAATCTAATTCTTCGTTCATTTGCATTGAAGTGTAGGGGCTTTGGGTTGCAATCAATTCGTTGTTTGTTTGCATATTTAGATTCATATTCGTGTAGTCATTATAAGGCTGTATGAGTTCCGATGCCATCGAGGACTCAAATTGACTCCCATTTAATCCGGAATTTTGTATCAAATTTATTTCTAAATAAACAATTTTTATTAAATTTGTATTTTTTATTCACATTTATAAAAATAAATTGTATTAATTAAAGTATCAAATACTAAAATGTTTGATTAGGATTTAAAAATTATAAATGAACTAATACAAAGAATCCGATATATCATTATTTAACAATAATAAACGAGATAGAACATACCTGGTTCATTTACTATTGACAAGTTATTTAATTTGGCCATGGTAAACACCATAGAACTTTGAATTAATTCTTGCTTAATTTGTGCAATTGTGAGCAATGCCTTCTCGTCCATATAGTCGTTGCCATTCATATCAACGTTACCGCCGTTAGAACCGATAGGTTTAATGTCATCAACCATTGTATTGATAATAAAAACCGGATTCTCGATACGGATACACAATTTTTCTATTATAAAGTTTATTTATTTAATATGATATTTAATACTAGTCTCAATCACTATTATTTGTCTCACATCATAACACTAAATGGTCACAATTACAATTTGTTGTTTATAATGACTGGTGTTATTTTTTGTACGGTATTATCCTTTCACTTATGATAATTGCCCATGGTGACTATCTTATACAAGTACAGTGTTAGTGAATACTGTATAAGTGTCTCTGTTATATAAGAGACAAGATTATCAGTTGAATGGTATTTATAACTTATATTAGGGCTCATAATACTTGTATATGAAGTTTAAGTGATCTGGGCTTAGACTTTGATTTAAATCACAACCTTTTGTCACTAATGACCATATTATTTGTATTTGTAATTATTTTTATTTTTATAACAAAATTAAGTGGAATTAATATAAATATTTGTAAGAATATTTAAATATTAATTGAATTGTTTTTACTTATTTTTGTCACACATTAAACGGTATGAGATTCTGATAAATAAATAACAGTTTGAAAAATAAATTCAAAAATATATAATTTAATGTTAATTTAGTCCAAATAACAATAATAAAATTAATATTAATGGAAGTTATATTTTACTAATTATTAATAAATAAATTTCAAAATATAGCAAAGTATACCTAAAATATAATATTAAAACCACTAATAAAAATATTATTTAATTCAAAATTATTTTTATATTACCCTAAAATTCCGTGCATTACCCGCGGGTTATACATAGGAAAAAGTTAAATTTTTGGAAAATATTTGGGTGCGGGTTATACATGGGGTGCGGGTTATCTATTGCAAAAATATTACAAAATTATTACTTCTTAATACTAAAAATTTTATTCAATCAATTAATTAAATTACACTAAATGTCTTATAAATCCGTCAAAATCAGAATCTATTTTAAATGCAGATCTAATATTCATTTAAACATGACAAAATTCACAATTAAAATGATATGAAATCAAAAATCATTATAAAACACATGTTTTTGTGTCCACACAAACAGGTTTTAAACTACGAAATATTGAATTGTATTTAAAAAGTGTATACGATACTTTGCCTCATTAATTAGTATAGCTTCAATACAAGTTATATCATAAAACTACTATAATTGTAAAAGTTTAGTTAAGTTTGAAAGAATTTTAAAGAAAACGAATTGTTAATTATATAAATATAAAGTATACTTAAGATATTCTAGAAAACAGCCTGGGTTTGTTAAATTCACATTACTGATACACTTGTTTAAAATGGTATAATATTAGAATGCTTTCATGTCTAAAAGCTCGTTAGGGAAAATTATCGTATACACTGTATACTATACAGCTTTTACATGCGGGTTATACATGGGGCGCGGGTTATCTATGGGTAGCTTTTTTATTTTTAAATACAACTTTTTGAAGTGCGGGTTATACATGGGTGCGGGTAATGCACGGAATTTTAGGGTAATTAAACTATAAATATACTGTACAGTAAATAGTTATATATAGCAATCTTACATTAATTGTTTACATTTAAATGTTTTAAATAAATTTATTAAAAATTAAAGATAATTAATTTAATATTTACCAAAAATTATTAATAATAATAAATTTCACGATTGGTTTTTAAATAACTTAATATTAACTCATTGGTGATGTATTAAAAACTTTGTAAACTTTTATTAACTCTTTAAATAACTTTTGTTTTAAAAACAAAACTTTAATTATATTAAAATGAATCACTTGAAACATTTTTGATACATTATATTTTTGTTTTCCAATCAATTTGAGAGAGAGAGATTCTGATAA